CCTCACTTTTTCCTTTTCTTCAGTTGGAATGAAATCCTGTTGTTGTTTTTTTACACCTTCTCAAAATACCACAGGTGACATGACAAGCAGACGTCAGAAGTCCAGATTCTTTGCTATCTCTCAGGAAGTGCTAATGAGGGCAAGTTGCAAAGGCCCTTTGAATCCAGGGCTCCAGACCTGGGCCTGAATTAAATTCAGTAACACCTCCTTGGCTACTGCGAGAGACAATCCTTTTTTTAGCTGGAAATTATGTGGGTTTGTTTTTTTCCCGGGAACATGATTTTCTCCCCAAAAAGTCCGAAAGTAAAATAATAATAATTCATTCTCCCCCTCCCTGCAATTATCTATTTTCCACTGATTGCTTCATCTGCTTAACTAAGCGGAACGTTTCTTCTTGTAGCTTCTCTGTTCTGCATGAGAAAACATCCGTGCATTGTTCTCCTCTTGGCTTTATAGTTTATACAGGTAGAATTGCGGTCATAAGTCGAGAACTGCCTGTGGTTGCCTTTCCTAACTGTAGATTGAGCAAGGATGCTTGCTGTAAACAGCGGAGAAAAAAGTAAAGGCAAAGGTTCCCCTTGCACACATGTGCTAGTCGTTCCCAACTCTAGGGGGCGCTGCTCATCTCTGTTTCAAAGCCGAAGAGCCAGCGCTGTCCAAAGACGTCTCCGTGGTCATGTGGCCGGCATGATTCAACACCGAAGGCACACAGAACGTTGTTCCCTTCCCACCAAAGGTGGTCCCTATTTTTCTACTTGCATTTCTTACGTGCTTTCGAACTACTAGGTTGGCAGAAGCTGAGACAAGTCACGGGAGCTCACTCCGTTACGTGGCGCTAGGGATTCGAACCGCCAAACTGCCGACCTTTCTGGCTCAGCCTCTTAGCCACTGACTCAATTCTGTTGCCCGCAACGAATTGTAAGTTTCAGAATGGTTCGGCTGTTTAAAATTTCGTGCACGACTTTTCCCCTGGTTAAATAGTTCCATCTTGAACTCCTAGATTTTTTTTCCCCCAATAAATAAATTTTAAAAAAAAACGACCCAATTGCAACGCTTCCTCCCAGAGAATCCTTCATCGATGTTGTTGGAAAGCTTTCTATTTGCTGGCGCGAGATGGAACCGTCTGTCGTCCTGGCAGATGGCCGCTCTTGGCTGACCTTGGCCAATCTTGAAGAGCAAAGTTGGCCCGCTTCATAGCGGATTGGGAAATATCCACAGAAGAAAGCTACCATTATGGAGCAGAGGATAACGGAGGTCCAGGTCATTTATCCCAAAGGTGCTTTTACCCCCCCAAAAAAGAGCTTACTTTGTCTTGTTGTTGTTTTTTTCTCCTTGAAGAGGTCTCGCCTCTCATCCAAGAAGCTTCTTCAACTCCGAAGCAGTGAAAAAGCTGAAGAACCGAAGGAACTTCCTGGATGAGGAGCAAAACATCTTCATGGAAAAAAACAGTTGCCTTTTAATAAAAGCGCCTTTGGAATGCAGAGCAAATGTTGAGCATTGAAGTGGCAGGACCACTGCGTGCCCCCCACGGGGGTCTTTGTCTGTTTATGTTTTTTATATACTCTTGCAAGTGTCTTTTTTTCAGAGAATCTGTCCTTGGATAAAAAGTAAGAGGAATTCACAGAGATGTTGAAACGTCTATGATACTCGGGGGGGGGGGGGGGGAACCTTCCTTGTGCCAAATTGTGCTTGTTTTGAAACTTTGTGAAGTTCCAAGTCCCATCCCAAACCCTGATTACTTAATCAAGCTCTTTTCTTTTTCATTTTTTTTTCATTTTTCCCCCCTGCAGGGATTTATTCAGTGGAACTCGTGAATGACAGCCTGTACGAGTGGCACGTGAAACTTCTAAAGTAAGTTTGCTTGGCTTCCCCACTTGCCCCGTTCTGTGACGAGAGTGTTCTGACCTTGGCTTCCTAAAAGCCTGAAGCAAACTCCTTGTCCTGATAAAAAAAAACCTTTTATTAATTGACTGTGAATTCTGCTCATTCACATCCAGCAAAGCCTTTCAAGGGAGGATTTACAGTCACAGACCTCATCTGGCTTGGAGAGCTGCCAGGCTGAGATCTGCAGAACTTGGCAAGGCGTCTTGGAGAGTCAGGAACCAATGAAGCGAACTAATGGTCTCCTGCAAACTCCACTCCCCTTTCGCTCCTCTTTTATTTCCTCTGGGAGGGGCCATTCATCGTCCACCTGGGGCCTTCCTCCCAAGTTGGCCCGAGGTCCAATCATCTGGCAACTCTGCATATGCGCACACTGGGAACAGGCTCCAGCTGTTCATCTGCCTCACTGATGCCGGACTCTGAAGGCAGCTGATAACTGGCATACGGCCCTGGCCCTCTCTCTGCCTCCGACACAGAGCCCTCATCAGAGCCTTCCCCAGACTCCCGGACTGGCCCATCTTCCTCCCCAACTACTCACTGTCCGAATCTGCTGCCAGCTCTGCTGGCTGCTGGTGGACCACAGCAGGGAGCAAGGATTGATGCTTGGAACAAAGAGAAAAGAGGGAAGGAAGGAGGGGAAGGGAGGAAGACAGAAGGGAAGGAAGAGGGGAGGAGAAAGGAAAGGAAGAAGAGAAGGAAGGAAGGAAGGAAGGAAGGAAGGAAGGAAGGAAGGAAGGAAGGAAGGAAGGAAGGAAGGAAGGAAGGAAAGGAACTTTCCATGGAAGTTTGTCATAACTTCCATTGCTAATCAACCCATTATAAGACAAGGAATATCCATGCAGTTCCCAATTGCTTATCTTTTGAATTCCATCCAGCATTCATTTTCAGCCCTTCAATTATAGGCGAGAACTCCCCGGGGAGTTGGGCTGTCCTTTGAAGAGAGCGTGGGAGATAGGATGGCTATGCAATTCACTTATTGCACCTCTTCCTCTTTCTTCTTCTCTTTCTTGTACCCATGGCCAGGGTCGATCCTGACAGCCCGTTACACAGCGATCTCCAAGTCTTAAAAGAGAAAGAAGGCGTGGAATATATTTTGCTCAGCTTCTCTTTTAAGGTAGGTAGGAAGGGAAGAAGCAACACACCGGTGGGAGCCTATCCTCTTTTAAGGAGCGTATTCTTTACCGAAACTTTAGCCCTCTTCCGAGCTCACCGCTCTGGTAGGAAACGGACTTTCCCAAGATTTAAGACTAATGCTTCTCTCTTGATCTGTTCCAGGATAATTTTCCGTTTGACCCTCCGTTTGTCCGAGTGGTCTCTCCAGTACTCAGCGGAGGGTAGGTCCAATCCTTTTTTTTTTAATCGGTCATCATTCAGAAATTACAAATCTGTTATTCCTCTTTCTCTTCTGGACAATTATGGGTGCAGCTTCTTCAATATTTCCTCGGAAGCCTCCGAGTAAGAGAATAGTAAGAGAAGTGCTAGTAGTTGTGTAATCTAAGGCTGAATGTCAAGAATATATATTTTTGTGGCCAATCATTCCTGAATTGGGCTGTCGCCAGTCAATCTATTTTCTCTGAGTAGGAAACATTTGCATGTGAGATATTAAAGGGATTCCTGTTCTAACTGGAGAGATATACGAAAAAAGAGTTAAAAGGCTTACAATTTTAATCAAGACTTCCTGCACCGCCCGGTGCTTAGCTACCTTTTGTAACTGTCTTTCTGCTAAATTATTCTCAGAGCGAATAGTTCAAGCTATTTGCCAATTCCAAAGCTGATTTTACAGCTTTGATGGTCTCCGTTTCCAAACTGCCACCTGCAAAATGGAGATAGTGCAAGCAAATAGACAATATATATATATATGTATGTATGTATGTATGTATGTATGTATGTATACGTACATACATACACACACACACACACACACACACACACACACATTTCCAAATTAACTTTAGAGCCTTGGGCTCCTGTCTCCATAGGTTTAACTAAGAAAGTCTAACTTTAAACATGACTTTAACTACCCATTTCGGAGAAGGCTAGTAGACTAGTGCAAAATCAGTAGTTAAAGTCATGTTTAAA